AAAAGAATGCACGTCACACCTCTGTTTATCAATTTGCCCTGGCTACCAGTGGCTCTGCACCCCTTTACCTAAATTCATTACTTCAGACTTATGTGCCTCTAGAAGCTTGCGTTCTGCAAGTGAACGTCGCTTTGTTGTTCATCTCAAAGAGGCACAAAATCACTTTCTCTGACTTTTAAATTAACTGTTCCCTCCTGGTGGAATGACCTGCCCAACTCAATCCGAGCAGCCATCTCATCCTTAGCCATCTTCAGGAATTGGCTAAAAACACATTTCTTCCATATTTAATTGAGCCTCTAACTCTAGCACTCTCTATTATAATTCTATTCTTAAAAAAAAAAAAAAAAAAAACTAACACTTGCTTCTCTAATCTTTTTGCATTCTATCTATTTGTTTTGTTTTAATTTATTATACAATTATAATTCTGACTTTCTGACTTCTTCTGATTAACAAAAGCAAAAAAGGCCTCTAACACTAGCTTGCTCTAGTCCTTGGCTATTCTATCTGTTTTCTTTTTATTTATTATATGATAAAAAAAAAAACCTTGCCATGTGTACTGTGTTAAGCTAACTGAGACTTGTTATAGCACTTGCATATCATTGCTCTTTTGTTGATTTTGATTGCTTCCATTGTCCTCATTTGTAAGTCGCTTTGGATAAAAGCGTCTGCTAAATGACTAAATGTAAATGTAGTGAATAATTGCCTGTTCCAACCCATATCATACCCACAAGTCAAACATTTAAATCTTTCCACTTCAAACTATTCTTTCTATAATTGTAATTTTCTTTTAAATAGTGTTCAGCCCCAGCCAAGCACCCAGCATCGGCTACTCTTCATTCACCGGATACTTATCACTACAATAAACCTACTAATCGAACTTCAAGACATTAATTCAGATTAAAATGACTGAATTCAACTTTTGAGTTAAACTTCACATAAGAACTCAAATGAAGTCAAACCTCAAAACAAAACCTGAAAAGTCCTGTTATACTAAAAGTAAAAAATAAAACAATATTTAAAAAAAAGTATAACTTTTAACTAACTTTCCCGCATGCTTTCTTTCACAGACTTGAATTTTTTTTTTTAAATGACAACTTTAGAACAACTATTGTTAGACCAATGCTTTTTTCAGCTTGTGGCCTTTATCATAAAACATACTGCAAACATGAAACTCTATTTGAAATGTTGTTGGCAGTATGTTTTATGATGAAGGCCACAAGCTGAAAGGCACTGGTTTAAGAATAAAGTTATTAAATTTCTTTAAATGTTGCTGTGGCTTTAACTTCTTTCAACAAAAGCTGCCATGCCAGAGAGTTGCATCTTCACAGTATTATCTGCACTGCAATTTCTTTTTGTAAGCTGTAATGCGATTATAAACGTAAAATTTTACAGTCTTCCAATCGCGGTTTCTCAGAGCTTCTGGTTCAGCTTTCAAGCATTTCTCACAGTCACTCTTTGCTGGTACAGTGCCAGATATGATGAATGGCTTCAGGTGCCTTTCCACCGCCTGCACCTCTGTCTGCTGCCAGGGAGTTTTCTTCTGGGCAGTTTTACCTTAAAGTGATCAGAAAGAAAGAAATGATTAAGAGTGTGTGCTGGAATTCCAATCTGAAGTTCTGAATCATTTAATCAGTATTTAAGTCAGCATCTATCCACCTTTTTCCTATGCCCCATGATGCTTTTCGCAAACTATGGGTGGAACTTCTGTTATGACATAAACAATCATTCGCTGCAGTCACAGTGTCGCTTCTCATTCATTCATAGCAAGATGTGGAATCACACGCTGACAGAACTTATAAAGGACAACATCAACATACCCGTCCCTTCCTTAATAGAGGAATGGGAGGACGATTTAAAAAAGTGGCCGCGCATAACGTACAGTAGCATTTTTAACTACTTTGTTGATTCAATTGCTTGTGACGGTAAGGCAATGAGCAATTTGAAAAGCTCAGAGGCTTACCAATACCTTCACAGTAATAAAGTAGGTCGTGTGCTATTCAAGGATGTGGGCAATCCTTGAATGTGAAGCCGAGTGTGAAGGCAAAATGTGAGCCGAGTCAAAGCCTGAATGTGTCACACCATAAATCTTGGGTTTTAGTGTCTACATCAGGTGTCATACAGACGGCAGGGTGCTCATGTATTGCAGGTCCAGGGCGCTCATGTAGTCACGCAGCTGCAGTAATGTGGAAGGTCAGAAAATACATGAAAAAAAAAAAAAAAAAAGATGATGATGAAGACCCACTTTAAATAAACTGTGTTTAACGACAATGTACTAACATTTAAATGCATCATTTGATACAATGCACTGTGCATTGTGTAAATACGTTTTTACACTGTAAAAACTAAAATTATAATCAAAATTATAAAACATCTAAAATTACACTGCTAACCATACCCCTTAAACCTACCCATACCATGGAACCTGTGCCAGCCTTACCCAAATCACACCTCAGTGGCATCAAATGTAAAAAAAATAAAATTCTCCCCATATGCACAGTCATTAAAGACACCTAATATGAAGTGGGATTGATGATGATGATGATGATTGTACTATATTATTAGTATTACCATTAGTATTAGGCTAGTAGTAAAAGCATAATCTGAGTGCTAACTAGTGTTTTACATCTAAAAGCTACAATCCTAGGGAGGCAAGAAAATAAAGAGTAAGAAAGACTATTATTTCTTCTATAATGGTAGAGAATGCAGTCAGGCAAGGCAAGACATGCATGTCATGTACTGATGTGCAAAGGAAGTGGAATGCAGGCACGAGGAAGAATGTAGGGCTGAGGAAGGCAAAACACATCAACTTTAAGACATAGACAAGGACACACATATCCAGGCCCATCATCATAGAAAATAACCAAAACAATCCAAGGTTTTTATTGTGGGAAATAATTTATTTAGAACTGGTTTCATTTGTAAAAATACAGAACATTTTTCATGATGTTCAGTTGATTGTCTTTAAAAAAAAAATCACTTTTTGTGATATAATGAACTGTTATGCATCTAGCAATTACTTAACCAATATATACAGTGCTGCCTGCTAATATTGGCACCCTTGGTAAATATGAGCAAAGGCGGCTGCTGTGAAAATAAATCTGCATCATTTATCTTTTTGATCTTTTATTAAAAAAAATCACAAAATTCTAAACTTTCATTGAAGTAAAACAATTTTGAAACAAATGTTTTTTCTCCAATGCATGTTGGCCACAATTATTGGCACCCTTAGAAATTCTTATGAGTAACATATCTCTGAAGTATATTCCCATTCATATTTATAATTTGTAGCTAACCAGGGTGATTATGAACATGAAATTATCCAGCCATTGCTTCCTGTTTCACAGGAATATAAATAGGAGGGAAAACAATGCCCAAATTCCCTTAATCATCATCACAATGAGAAAAACCAAAGAATATAGTCCTGATGTGCAGAACAAGATTGTTGAGCTTCACAAAATAGAAAGTTCACTGACCACAAAAACAAGCTTTTGCCATGGCCGTCCCAGTTCCTTGACCTGAACCCTATAGAAAATGAGTGGGTGAATGGAAGAGGAGAAGCACCAACATGGAGCTGGGAATCTGAAGGATCTGGAGAGATTTGGGATGAAGAAATGGTCTCTGATCTCTTGTCAGATGTTCTCCAAACGCATTAGGCGTTATAGGTAAAGACTCAGAGTTGTTATCTTGGCAAAAGGTTGATGCAAAAAGTATTGTATGTTATTTTTTAAATGTCTGGGTAAAAAAACTACTTTTTTTCCCCACTGAAAACATTTTATTTTTAAGAAACATATAGAACATTTTGGAACAGTAAACATGTCAGGCTAAATAATTAGAATAAGTAATTAAATTCTTCTTAATTAAATGCAGTCACTTAAGTGAGCCTAAACCTGCAGCTCAACAATAATCAGAACATAATAAATTATTTTCTGTAAAAAAAACAACAACCTATAAATGAAAAAAATGCAGTCACTTAAGTGAGCCTAAACCTGCAGCTCAATAATCAAAAATATAATCAA